TGTAAGAAATTGTGAAACTGTTTTCCAAAGTGGCTGTAACAGCTTGCATTTCCATCAGCAATATACAGAGTTCCTACTGCTCTCCCTCCTGGCCAGTACTTAATATCGTTAGTTCTAAATACTCTAAATGAGTCCTTTGTTTCATATTTGCTTTGCACATATTTTCTCCCTGTTAGTAGTTTGTCTTTTCATTTTCTTTAAGTGTCTTTAAGCAAATATTTTAATTTTGATGAAGTCTGAGTTATAAATATTTACTTTTATGGTTCATGTTTTTGTGTCCTAAGAAATCTGTGCCTAAACCAAAGCAACTAAGATTTTCCACAGGAGAATTAAAACTTTTACAAAACTTTGAAGATGGGACAAAATGGGCTTACAGAACACTAAGATACTGTATAATCATAATTCACACATACAAAAACTGCTGCATTTTTAGAAATATTGAATCCTAACTGGGGCAGTTTAGACATTGGCAATTATGTCCTGAGATAAATATTACAAGTACATTTTTCAAATAAAGCTGTAACAGGTTAAGGAAAAAGGCAAAAAACTAAAATTTAAACATTTAAGAATATTTCAGGCTGGGCATAGTGACTCATGCCTCTAATCCCAACACTTTGAGAAGCTGAGGCAGAAGGAACACATGAGGCCAGGAGTTCAATATCAACCTGGGCAATATAATGAGATGCTGTTTCTACCAAAAATTTAACAATTAGCTAGTTGTGGTGGTGTGTGTTATAATCCTAGCTGCTTGGGAGGCTGAGCTAGGTGGACTGCTTGAACCCAGGAGGTCAAGGTTCCAGTGAGCTATGGTTAAGCCACTATACTCCGGCCTGGATGACCAAGTAAGACCTGTCTCTTAACAACAGTACCAAAAGATTATTTCAGAAATATCTGAATGTTTTTAAAAGATTAAAAAAAAAAAACAAAAAAAACACGGGCTGGGTACAGTGGCTTATGCCCATAATCCCAGCACTTTGGGAGGCCGAGGCAGGCGGATCACAAGTTCAGGAAATCGAGACCATCCTGGCCAACATGTTGAAACCCTGTCTCTACTAAAAATACAAAAAAATTAGCTGGGCATGGTGGTGCACATCTGTAGTCCCAGCTACTCGGTAGGCTGAGGCAGGAGAATTACTTGAACCCAGAAGGCAGAGACTGCAGTGAGCCGATATTGTGCCCCTGCACTATAGCCTAGGCGACAGTACAAGATTCTGTCTCAAATCAACAAACAAAAACATAGGCTCTTTAAATAGGATGCAAGTAGAAATCTACTGTCACAACATACCGCAGAAGAAAATTATGTTAAGTACAGAATTTCATTTCCAAATGCAGACAGTTGAAGAGACACAGCTCTTCAATTCTAAACTATTCTAGAAGTGTCTCCAACATAATGAAGAAATTCCACAACACAGTTATGAATGGCTATGACACAGATTCTTTACAATATTTAAAGCTGTACAATGAGAATAGATTGTTCATTTTTGATAATCCTTATAAATAAAATTTCTCAAAATAACATAAAATAAATATCTGAAGAAAAAGTAACGAAACTTCTATGAATATAGGAGCAATTTTTATATTCTGTACTACAAACTGGAATTAATGATGATTAAACCAAGTTTTAGCAATAATTAATTTAAGTTTTTAGATTCCACATAGCTTTCAGGTAAACCTGAACAGAAAAAAATGTGGAATTCATATTCTTTATCTGTCACAGTCCTGAAGTTTATATGCTTTCAATATCATCTTAGAATTGTTCTACTTCCTACTGTAAATGACAGATACTCCATTCAATACATCATTATCTGAATGTCTTTGTTAAAGACATCTTCAATTAGAATAAGATAAATAAACATAACTATTATGAAATATAATTATATAAGGCTTGGTAAAGATTCCTAAGATAATTATGTAGGAGAAAATGCTTACAAAATTTTAAGATTCTCCTTTCATTCCCTCAAGGAGATATGGTTGAGTAGCTATAATTTTGTATTTGGAATGAGACTGAAAATTTATTTTTATTTTGAGACAGAGTTTTGCTCTGTTGCCCAGACTACTGGAGTGCTATGGTGTGATTTTGGCTCACTACAACCTCTGCCTCCTGAGTTCAGGCAATTCTCCTGCCTCAGCCTCCTGAGAGCTGGGATTACAGGTGTGCAACACCACACCCAGCTAATTTTTGTATTTTTAATAGAGACAGAGTTTCACCATGTTGGCCAGGCTGTTCTTGAACACTTGACCTCAGGTGATCCACCATGCCTCAGTCTCTCAAACTGTTGGGATTACAGGCGTGAGTCACTGCACCCGGCCATATTTTCAACATTCTTGATTCAAAGATTATATACTGGGTCACTACTGACAAATTTAATCGGGCAGTCACTTCTCTGTTTTCAATTTAGAAGAAAGGGAGATTTGTTCTGGACTGCTGTTTATATACACTGTAGAAATTCTACAATATATTCTGTCCATCAATATTGGCAGTGATTGTTGTACTCCAAAGTCTGTTAGCATATGTAACACTTAAAGAAAATCTTTATTCAAACACAGCTAATAAAAAATTTTTATATCTTCCTGCATGAAACCCAAAATTTTGTATCTTCCTGTATGAAACCCAAAACCAAAAATGCAAATGTACAGGGTACTTGGCTTCCCTTTATTAAAATGATTAAGTTGGATTAAATAATAAGAAAAAATAATAATCCACCCAATAATTTTGCAGAAATGACTGTATCCAATCAATACAAAGAAAAAGAGAAGGAAGGAAACCAATATATCAGGTGTTTAATGTCAAAAACAGTATGAAAAACTATGCAAATGAATGACAAAAAAAAAAAACCACCGTGTACGGATGCCAATGTTGAAGAATCCTAAAGCTGAAAGCAAAATCCACAATTATTTTTTTGCCATTTAAAGTCATTGGGCAAAAGTAGTCAATATCCTCAAAGGCAAATTCAGACCCACATTCTATCGGTGTACGATGTTCTACATCCTAGCACTACCAACACTGAACTTTATAATACTACCATTCAAAATATTTTAGAAGAGTTTTTCTTTATGTCAACAATAAAAGTATCTCTGGATAAATACTTTTATCCAAAGCTACAAGGGGAATAAGGCTGTATGATCAAAGAGGTAGACAGACATAAATCTTTTCAAAGTTCTAAATACATTTTTTTAAATAATCTAACATTAAATAATTTCATTTTGGTGGTTTTTTTTTTTAATTTTAGAACACATGCATGCACACATGCACACACACATGGAGCTTACTCTATTTTCCTTAATCACACATGATAAAAATCATTAACGACTTATTCGCTTTATATATTGATAATCATGTCAATTTTAAGAATACTGTCAATGATGTTGCTATGGCTCTTTCTAGAAAAATACAAAGTTTAAATGCTGCCCTGAAACACTACCCCTTTTCAGTCTGAAGTAGATATTCTGTAATCTGATGTTCCCCATCAGTTCCCAGTTTCTTCCTCTTCATGAATCTCCAATCCTGACTTTGTTAAACATGTTACATACAACTGCTCAGATTTTCTTAAAACAAATCAGATATATAATAGCATATCAGAAAAGGGTTGTTATAACAACAGGTTAAGCAATTCTATCATTCCGGTAATTTGTGTAGCTCTATCAGTAAGTTTCATTACAGGCTTCCGAAATACCAAAACTATTTCGCATGATCTTTCTTAACGCAGATCAATTTTAGTTAGAAAAGGGGGAAAAAAACAGATTCAGAAAAAAATCTATTTTAAACAAGACCAAACACAGAAAAGTGTTTGTCTGGAAACTACAGTAGCAGACACCAAACTCTATTTAAGCTACAAGGATGAACAGCTCTGCTGTTACTGTAATACAGGAATCACACAGAGTTGTAAGTTGAAAATCATCTTTAAAGGTCATTAGTACAACATCTCATTCAATGTAGGAATATCTTTTATAACATCCTTGAATTAGATAATGGTCATTAGCTCTTTTTAGAAACAAGGAGTATATCACCTAACAAGTCACCCCATTTTATCTTATCAGCATAAACTATTAGCAAGCATTTCTAAAGGTGACTTACAATATTCTCCTTTAGTCTTGGCTCTTGCAATAAAAGCAATTCATTAAAAATAAAGCTAAGTTTGGTTGGCATTCCCTGTTTCACCCCTACCTCAATTATACAAAAGCATCAGATGAAGCCTATTCTAATGGAGATCACAGATTCTAAGGGAAGATTCTATTTCTTCAGTTACTACTGATTCAGGAAGAAACATGAAGTCAAATTCAACTTTTAAGAAACTTTGAAAACAAATAATGTGGAAAAAAAAAAAAAAGTTGATGATACTAATGATACTCCACAAATGAGACCACGTAAATCTAAGTATAACCTCTAAGAGTACAAAACTAGTACCAGTAAATAATAATAGTAAATATTTAGAATAATTGTATTTTTATAAAGAACATACCTTGAAAAAGAAATATCTCCTTTTTTATTTAGGTCAAATGTTGATGAGTGGAAAAAACAAAGATGTGTATCTCCTTATGTAACCGGTTGGGTTTTTTCTTGGGTGCTGGTGAGACACAGCTCCCCAGAGAGAATGGTGTGGGTTCTTGGTCTCCAATCTCTTAAAGAATAAGCGATGGGGCCGGTCATGGTGGCTCACGCCTGTAATCCCAGCACTTTTGGAGGCCAAGGCGGGTGGATCATGAGCTCAAGATATCAAGACCATCCTGGCTAACATGGTGAAACCCCGTCTCTACTAAAAATACAAAAATTAGCTGGGCATGGTGGCCCTGCTACTCGGGAGGCTGAGGCAGGAGAACTGCTTGAACCTGGGAAGCGGAGGTTGCAATGAGCTGAGATCTCGCCATTGCACTCCAGCCTGGAGCCTGGCGACAGAGCAAGACTCTGTCTCAAAAAAATAAATAAATAAAATAAGTGATGGGACCACTGCAGGTGTGCTGTACGCTCGTAAAAGTAAATATCCACCCAAGAAGTGTTGCAGAAAGGTGATTTTATTTAGGTAGAGAAAAGAGAAGAAGAGAAAGACTTCCGTGAAGACTGTGGAAGGGGTTTTCAGAGGGGAAATCCCAGAGAGGAAAGGGAGCTCCCACCAATGTTGGGAGGGAATTCCAGAGAGCTGGAAATCCAGTGTGGGTGAAGGAGCAGGGGAATTTATCCTGGGAGAAATTCCCACCTTCCCAAGTTCCTCTGGCCAATGAAAGGAGTCCCTTTAAATTTCCACCGGAGTGACTGACTCTTACGTTTCTTCCCGCACCCTCGAAATTCAAACATAAACCCTTAAATCTCCCAGGTGGAGAGATGGGAGGGGTGCATTGCGCTACAAAATTCTTGCTCTTAAAACTAGGCTCCATCATACACCCAGAAAGAGAACACATTTCATCACTTAGACCTCTCTTCCTAGTCATCACGGTCTTAACCTCCAGAGCCACTAAAACTGGAACCCCTGTCTACTCCACTCAAGAACTATCAACATTCAGGTTGATGTTGTCCATTTTGAGTCCAGCTCTTTTCAAGCTGTGGATTCCTCTATAACTACTACAAAAATGACAAGTTAAAAAAAAAAAAATCATCCGAATCCAAGATAGCCGTTTAGGAACAGCTCAGGATTGCAGCTCCCAGTGAAAGCGCAGAGGGTAAATGAACGCTGCATTTCCAGACAGATTTTTATTGCCCACAGACCAGGAGATTCAGAAGCGGAGGAGCCCCAAAGGTCACCAGCGCGGCTCTTTTGGCCCGTGTGGCTGCTTTGCGGCACCTGGGCACAACAGTTCTCTGTACAAAATACACTGGTCCGGGTGCCCTTTTAGCAGGCGACTGGAGCCCTGGGAAGGCGCAGTCACCCATTCATCTGTCTAAAAAGGGGTCTGAAACAGGGAGCCAGGACAGGAGATTCCCGGCCAAAAAAAAAAAAAAAAAAAGCCCCATGCCACTGTTTAAGCCGGCGCAGTGAGTCGCCACAGGGGAAATCACAAAGACCCTGGCGCCTTTTCAACAGGCGACTGGAACACCTGGGAGAGAGTTGACCGTTCAACTAAAAATCAAAATGCTCTGAGGCAGGGAGCCAGGTGATCAGGCTCGGCTGGTCCCACGCCCACAAAAGAACAGCAATCAGAAACTCTTTGGATTGAGAGTTTCACAGCAAGCACAGCTGAACCTGGGACGGTCTAGGTCTGTGGGAGAGGGACCTCCGCCATTGCCGAGGCACTACGGAGGTGGTACGCCATTGCTGAAGCAGCCCACCGCTGCCGAGGCAACCCGCCAATGCCAAGGCAAACTGCCATTACAACGAGACTCCCCATTACAGAGGCGGGCCACCAATGCTCAGACAGTTCTAACTACACCCATATAAACAGGACTGCAGGGAAGTTCACACGACAGCTGGGCAGAGCCCACAGCAGCTAAGTAAAGCCTCTGAAGGCAGACAGTGACTAGGCTGCCTCCTTCCTGCACAGAGCAGCCCTGAAAAAAAGGCAGCAGCACAACGGAAACTCATAGAGCCCTAATTACCTGGGACAGAAAAAAAAATGGTGTTTATGAGTTCTGCTGCAGCAGACCTAAACGTACCTGCCCAGCAGCCCTGAATGAAAAACGGAGCTCATAACTCAGCACTTGAGCTCACGTAAAAGACACGACAGTCTCCTCAAGCAGCTCCCTGACCCCCGTATATCCAAAGAGTCAACTCATAAAGGAAAGATCAGACTGACATTTAGCAGGTATCCTTCTGGGACAAAAATAGCACAAAAAGAAACTGGTAGCAACCATTACTGTTCTGCAGCTGCTGCAGGTAATCCCCAGGCAAGCAGAGCCTGGAGTGGACCTCAGCAGCCAGAAAACAGGGGGACCAGACTGTAAGAAGGAAAACTAAGAAACAGAAATAACTTCATTATCAACAAATTGTACGTCCACTCAGAGACCCAAACTGAAAGTCAGCAACTACAAAGATGACAGGTGGATAAATCCACAAAGGTGGAAGAAACCTGCGCAAAAAGGATGAAAATACCCAAAACCAGAACACCTCTCCTCCTAAAAGGGATCACAATTCCTCACCAGCAAGGGAACAAGGCTGGATGGAGAACGAGTGTGATGGAATGACAGAATAAGACTTCAGAAAGTGGGTAATAAGGAACTTATTACCGTGAGCTAAAAGAACATGTTTTAACCCAATGCAAAGAAATTAAGAACCTTGAAAAAAGATTTGACGAAATACTAACGAGAATGGACAACTTAGAGAGGAATATAAGTGAATTGATGGAGCTGAAAAACACAACACGAGAACTTCATGAAGCATGCACAAGTTTCAACAGCCGAACTGACAAAGCAGAAGAAAGGTATCAGAGGTCGAAGATCAACTCAATGAAATAAAACGAGAAGGTAAGATTAGAGAAAAAAGGGTAAAAAGGAATGAACAAAGTCTCCAAGAAATGTGGGATTATGTGAAAAGACCTAATCTACGTTTGATAAGTGTACCTGAATGTGATGAAGAGAATGAATCCAAGCTGGAAAATACTCACCAGGATATTATCCAGGAAAACTTCTCCAACCTAGCAAGGCAGGCAAATATTCAAGTCCAGGAAATACAGAGAACACCACAAGATATTCCTCACAAAGAGTAACCCCAAGGCACATAATCGTCAGATTCACCAGGGTTGAAATAAAGTAGAAAATGCTAAGGGCAGCCAGAGAGAAAGGTGGATTACCCACAAAGGGAAGCCTATCAGACTCACAGCAGATCTCTCAGCAGAAACCCTAGAAGCCAGAAGAGAGTGGGGGCCAATATTCAACATCCTTAAAGAAAAGAACTTTCAACCCAGAATTACATATCCAGCCAAACTAAGCTTCATAAGTGAAGGAAAAATAAAATCCTTTGCAAACAAGCAAGTACTCAGAGATTTCATCACCACCAGGCCTGCTTTACAGGAGCTCCTCAAAGAGGCTCTACACATAGAAAGGAACAACCAGTACCAGCCACTCCAAAAATAAACCAAATGGTAAAAAGCATCAACACAATGAAGAATCTATAACAACTAATGGGCAAAACAGCCAGCTAGCATCAAAATGGCAGTATCAAATTCACATATAACAATATTAACCCTAAACGTAAATGGACTAAATGCCCCAATCAAAAGACACAGACTGGCAAATTGGATAAAAAGCAAAAACCCATCGCTGTGCTGTATCCAGGACACCCATCTCACACGCAAGGATACACAAAGGCTCAACGTAAAGGGATGGAGGAAGATTTACCAAGCAAATGGAGAGCCTAAAAAAAGCAGGAGTTGCAATTCTTATCTCTGATAAAATAGACTTTAAAGCAACAAAGATCAAAAGAGACAAAGAAGGACACTACATAATGGCAAAAGCATCAATGCAACAAGAAGAGCTAATGATCCTAAATATATATGCACCCAATACAGGAGCACCCAGGTACATAAGGCAAGTTCTTAATGACTTACAAAGAGACTTAAGACTCCCACACAATAATAGTGGGAGAGTTTAACACCCCATTGTCAATATTAGACAGATCAACCAGACAGAAAATTAACAAGGATATCCAGGACTTGAACTCAGACCTGGAACAAACAAACCTAACAGACATTTACAGAACTTTCCACTCCAAATCCACAGAATATACATTCTTCTCAGCACCACATCACACCTACTCTAAAATTGAACACATAATTGGAAGCAAATCATTCCTCAGCAAATGCAGAAGAACAGAAATCATAACAAAGAGTCTCTCAGACCACAGTGCAATCAAGTTAGAACTCAGAAACTAACTCAGAACCGCACAGCCTCATGGAAACTGAACAACTTGCTCTTGAATGTTGACAGGATCAACAATGAAATGAAGGCAGAAAAAAAGACGTTCTTCGAAACCAATGAGAATGAAGACACAACATACCAGAACCTCTGGGACACATTTAAAGTAGTCTCTAGAGGAAAATATATAGCAATGAGTGCCCACATGAGAAGAAAGGAGAGATCTAAAATTGACACCCTATCGTCAAAATTGAAAGAGCTAGAGGAGCAAGATCAAAAAAACTCAAAACCTAGCAGAAGACAGGAAATAACTAAGATCACAGCAGAACTGCAGGAGATAGAGACACAAAAAACCCTTCGAAAAAATCAATAAATCCAGGAGCTGGTTTTTTGAAAAGACCAACAAAATAGACAGACCACTAGCCAGATACATAAAAAAGAAACGAGAGAATAACCAAATTGATGCAATAAAAAATGATAAAGGGGATATCACCACAGATTCCACAGAAATTCAAACCATCATCAGAGATTATTACAAACAACTCTATGCACA